TATCGTCCGTCCGATGTGCTGGGTCCCCTGAGGGCCTATCTTTTCTTGTATAAATGCTGCCTTTTGCCCTTACTTGGTTTTTACTTTGTTTCATGACAATGGGAAAAACTGAAGTTTTTTTAAAAAAAAGAAAAGAAGAATCTATTCTCAGTGGAGCAGTTTTGCCAAGTAGGCGGTAGAATTAAATGCCATTATGCCATTTTTAATTTTTAGTGATTAAAGAATAGCATATGTGAGTTCTAGCTTTAACATCAGCACATTATAAATAGTAGAAACTGACCTGATATTATAGCATGAGAAACGAAGACTTATGAAGAAGGGTTCTGTTTTATGAACTCTAAATTTATCTGAATCCTTCCATGTGTACTTAAAGGATCTTATCCCCAGCAAGTTTTATTCTTCTGAACTAGAATTAGGTGACCTTTTCCCATTCTGAAAATAATTGGATCAGATACATTTTAAGTCCAGGAGGAATTTGTTTTCTTTGCTGTTTCTAACTTCAACTTCTTTTATTTACTCGATCTCAGTCATATCCAGAACATATTTAGATTTAAAGTCTGTGCTAACAGTAAAGGTTCCATTATATCCGGCACTTTTCCTTGACTTTATGTCCCTCCGCATTTTATGGGCTTCCCCTTGTACTGCTGCAATAGAAGCTGACAGACTGGACGTGTGTGGTACGCCTAAGCTGAGGCCTGACGTGTCTAATACTCTTAAACCCTGGGAGGTGTTCCTTTTTCGCAGAAAGGAAGCTGCTGAAGAAGGGCACTCCTTCTAGGGCACAAAGCCATTGCACAGCTAGAGTTCCAGATTGCACATCAGGCCGCACTGGCCCAGGGCTGCACGTTTTTATAAATTTCTTTCTGTGAGTTGACTGGTTTTCTTAATTTTTCAAAATTTTAATGGTGACTGTGCTTTTATCAGATTTTAATTATTTTTATTGACATTAAGATTTAGGTACAAAGCACTTATAACTAAAAAAAATACTCGGGAATTTTAAAAATGTTAAAACCTTAAACTGCTCTTCTGATCCTCATGTAATGCAGATAGTGCATTTTTTTCAGTCAGGTGTCTGAGAGATGCAGAAATCAACAAAATCTGGTCTTTCCCTTGGGGGACAAGAAATCTGGGGTAGCCAGGGCAAAAATAAAGGTTTCAGTCATAAACATTTTCATTAACAGCCATTTCAAATCAATCCCACCTCCTCCAGGACCTCCCCCGCCCAGCCTCCCCCGCCCAGGAGAGTCAGATGCCCCCGAGTCGCACTGCAGCCTGCGCTGCCCTGGGTTGAGCACCTGGTCGTGCAGTGCCTGGACCTCTCAGCTTCTCAAGAGCAGGCCCTTGTCCTTTGCCCCTCCTCTGTGCTCCCTGGGGTGCAGTGGTTAGAGCACAGGTTTCAGAGTCAGATTTGGGTTCTGGTCTGTTCTGGTGATTTCTAGTTGTGCTAGTTAAGTCACTGAACTTCTCAGTGCTTCATCTTCCTTAGCTCAGGCTGCTTTTAGGCATTTTTTAACAGGAGAATGGGGATTAGAACTGTACTGTGAAAGATGGGTAGAATTTGGATCAGCAAACGACCCTTTGCTTAGCCAGGAGGACTATGACTAGAAGCATTTAAACCGGCCATCATTAGTAAGTAAACTCTACTTCTGAATTTTCTCACCAGGGTTAGAATTGGTCTGACTTGTTGGTGAGTCCCTGATGGGCCATTTAGAAGCTGTTAGCCCCTTGAGCAGATTACCTTATCTCGGACTTGGCTTCCTCGTTTCTGTAACAAGAGATGCTTAACTTGCAGGGCTGTGGTGAATCCAGAGTAGTGTGTGTGAAGTACTTCACTTTTCAGTTCAGTCTCATGTGGTCCCACCCTACTTCGACCCTTTATGTACTCCAGATATTAAAGGTAAATTATGGCCGAAACCAGTTTGGCTCAGTGGATAGAGCATCAGCCTTTGGATTGAAGGGTCCCAAGTTTGATTCCGGTCAAGGGCATGTACCTTGGTTGCTGGCACATCCACAGTAGGGGGCGTGCAAGAGACAGCTGATCAATGACTCTCTCATCGATGTTTCTCTCTGTCTCTCTCCCTTCTCTGTAAAAAATCAATAAAATATATTTTAAAATAAATAAGTTTTTAAAAAAGGTAAATTATGGATGTATTTCAGATAAATTAATCAGCTATTTTAATAAGCTAGATAGTAAATTGTGGCGGCATTAATTTTTTAAATGTCATCATGGTACTTACCATGTGTGTGTCATACTGTTTGAGTGTGGGCCTGCTTTGTTTTTCTTTTTCCCAGATGGTACATTACTTACGGTCATGAACTCATTTGGAAGAACAGGGAGCCTCTAGTGAAAATTTGGCATGAAATGAGGACTAATGGCCCCAAAAAAGGAGGTGGCTCTAAGTAAAACGGATTGGACGACACTGGTGCATCTGGTCCTCGCTGCCTGGAGGCCCCAGGAACGCATCGGCCTGGCGTGACCACGTCTTCACTCCTGCCTGGAAGACACCCGGCTTCTGCTTTCCCAGAATTTTAAACTGTGTCCTCAGTACCTGTCTTACCAGGAAGTGAACTGTGACAATGTTATGAAATAAAGGTTTATACTCTAGTTTGTAAACAGAGGCTGTGTGTCTCTTTGGAAGAGCAGTCATGTTGCCCTGGAATCCTGTTATGTTGGATGTAGATTGAGCTGTGAACCCAGCAGGGAAAGACCTGATGGAGACTTGGAGGGGAATCTGGAATGGCTCCCAGGTTTGCACACTGACCTTCGCACTTCTCTGCTAACCCTTTCCTCCTCCCTACCTGCCCTTTCCTGTAAGAGCATCTTCTCTCTGACATGGTCTGAAACAACAGCTGCTCTTTTTATAAAGTTCCCCAAGAGTTAGTTTCCTGGCAGTCAGTGGCATACACAAAAAGCTGTTTTGAGGCTTTTGCTTTCTTGGTTAACATTGAAACTTAGAGATTTAAAGGAAGTATCTTGGATAAATTTAGACTAGAGCCTGGGCCTAATTGCATCTTACATTTGAAAAGGTACATTCTTTGAATTTAAGCGTTTTACTGAAATCCCAGACGGTGGGCATCGTAGTAGCTTCACTTTTGTGGAACTAACTTGCCCTTGTGATTGAGAGTTATTTCTAGGAAATGCAATTTGAGAATTTTAAGTTTTTCTTGAGTAGATTTACAGAAGAGTTTGTTTTTTTAAAACGTATTTTTATTGATTTCAGAGAGGAAGGGAAAGAAACATCAACTATGAGAGAATCATTGGCTGCTTCCTGCACGCCCCCTATTGGGGATCGAGCCTGCAACCTGGGCATGTGCCTTGACTGGGAATCAAACTGGGACCTCCTGGTTCATAGGTCAATGTTCAACTACTGACCACACCAGCAGGGCAGGACTAAATACTTCAGTCAGCAAACCTAGATGGCTAATTCCTGGTCTATGGAGGCCACACAAAGACAGCTGCTCCACTGGTGAACACAGTATGCCCCTCTCCTGGGCCATGGCCCCGCCAGGGCAGCCCTTACATCCCTTGCTGTGACTCCAAGCTAAGACGGGCAGAGAATCCCTACTGTGAGGGCTGGGCTGTTCTGCACTTCTCTCTGAGGTGCGACACCTTGGATACCATCCAAGAATGTGCTTGGAATGCAGCTAGGGATACTGGTGTAATCGCTCTGCCGTGGGCACTGAGGCCAGGTGTCAGGTATTTAGGAGACCTTTGCTCTAGCCGGTTTTGCTCAGTGGGTAGAGCATTGGCCTGCGGACCAGAGAGTCCCAGGTTTGATTCTGGGCAAGGGCACGTGCCTTGGTTGCGGGTGGGCTTCGTCCAACATGGAGGGGTCAGTCAATCGATTCCTTCTAGACATTGATGTTTCTCTTCTCTTCTGAAATAAAAATATATTTAAAAGCATATTCAGGAAATCTTTGATTGTGGCCAGGGTGTTGTTTCTGATACTTGCATGCAGATGAGTTTTAGCCTGGAGGATTAGCCAAATTTAGCTTTGTAATAAAACAAGAGCGTAGAATGTAGACACAGGACCGAAGGGAATTTATAATTATTGTAATGACAAGAGGCCTGGTGCATGAAATTCATGCAGGGGCGGGGGTGTCCCTCAGCCCAGCCTGCACCCTCACCCTCTCCAATCTGGGACCCCTGCCTGCCTGATGGCCCCTAACCGCCTCTGCCTCGGCTCCCACCACCATAGCTTTGTCCAGAAGGATGTTCAGAAGGTATGTCTGGTCTAATTAGCATATTACCCTTTTATTAGTATAGATTATCATAATTTACAATCATAATTATTACAGGGTTCGCTTCTTACTGTACACGTTGTAGATGTCTATCCATGGTACTAGATGTCCTTATGTTTGTAGCATAGTGGCCAAAGATTTGTGGCAGTACTAGATAAAGCCTTCCACCCTGCTTCCAAATTAGAACGTGGGAAAGGTCAGCTGAGGGCTCATGCCAATTCTCAATGAGAAGTGGGTTGGTTGTCACACATTTATTATAGTACTGTGAAGGCCAATAGCTGGTGACTCACGGGCTGACTCATGCGTTTCCTCTGGGAGGCATAGCCCCAAGTTTCCCCGTGTCCCTCTCCATGACTGCGAGTCCCCGAGGCGCAGCCTGGCGCCAATGCGGCAGCCTCGCCGCGGACACGCGGTCCCCGCGACAAACACGCTGAGCAGCGTGTCCGAGTGCGGGCGGCGGGCGACCCGCAGAGCCAGGCCTGGTTTATAAGGTAACATTTAGGGAACTCTGGATCACATGATGAAACACTCTAGTTTTAGTACATGCGCTGCCGAAGCGAGCACACACATTATGAAACATCCTCAAAGTTGGACCGTTGTCAATGCCTCCCCCACTTACCCCCGCTGCGGTCTTCCCGGGCTCGCACCCCGCTCCCGCTGTGCGCACCGGGTCCCCGCCCCACCTCCCGGGCTCACCCCGTCCGCCCCCCTCGCTCACGGCCATCCCACCCCCGGCCAGGCGGCGGCGCTGCGGCGCGGGGAGGCCGCGGGGGCGGGGAGCCGGGCGGGGCGGCTGCGGGGCGCGGGGACCGGCCGCCGGGGGCGCGGGGAGGCATGGCGTGGCCCTGCATCAGCCGCCTGTGCTGCCTGGCGCGGCGCTGGAACCAGCGGGACCGCTCGGACGTGGCGGTGCCGCTGACCCTGCACAGCTACTCGGACCTGGACAGCGAGGAGCCGGGCCCCGGCGCCGCCGCCCCGCGCACCGGCGCGCCCCCCGCGGGCGCCCGGGCCCCCGGCCGGGACGTGCCCCGCACGCAGTACCAGCGGGACTTCTGCGCGTGGCCCGCGCCCGCGGGGCCCCGGGAGGCGGCGCAGGGGCGCAGGCCGGGGGCGGGCGGCCGGAGGGGCGCCTCTCCCGCAGCCCCTGGGGGCCAGGGGGTCTACGTGCTCCCCATCGGGGACGCGGACGCGGCTGCGGCGGCCACCTCGTCGTACAGGTACGGGGCCGGGGGGAGGGAGTGCGTGGTGTCCGGACCCGGGGGACGGGCGGAGGACACGGGTGGGTGGGGGAGAGGGGGCGCCTGGAACCCCCACCCCACAGGACTTGGAACCGGCGGGCGGCCTCGCCGATCATTCCTGTTGGCCCCTGAGCACAGCAGGGGCCCTTTAGCTGCTCCCTGACCGGCCTCAGAGGGAGTGAGCGAACACCTCCGCGGACGGAGAGCTCACCACCGCACTGCCAGCCCCGCACCCATCCCCGGCTGCGCCGCCAGAAAGCTGCGTCCCGTTAACTTGCACCAGGTGGGCCCGGCCTAGGAGGCGTGTGCGCAGGCGGACTGCCTGGGCCCCTCTGGCCGCGCCCTCGGGGGGGGGGGGGGGGAGCGCGGGGTTGGTGGTGAGGCCCAAGCAGCTGGGCTGTTGGAAACACTGCCCCTGAGATCCAGCTACTTCGCGCCCAGGAATTAACCCCGTGTGGAGTGGAGCGAAGGAATAGGAGGTCCGCGGCCACTCCGTACAGCCCGAGGTGGAAAGGGAAGCCCGGGAGGTACTGGTGACAGAAGCTCCTCAACTGGCCCAGGTCACACCAGCGAGATGCAAACAGCATGCCTGCCGCTCTGCTTTCAAAAGGGGGTGGATGTGCAGGGCTGGGCGCAGGGTGTCTCTGAGAGGTGGTGACCTGTGGGGACAGGGCGGAGGGTGAGGAGGTAGGATGCTGCTAGGGAGGAGGGAGACCGACTTTTCACTACACTCTCTCACACTGCTGCTTTAAAAAGAAAAACAAACAAACAAACAAACAAAAAAACCCGCCCAGGTGTTACCTTTTAAAAGGAAACAATATTTTGCCTTGGCCGCGCACCGAAAGACGGAGGGTTTGATTCCAGGTCTAGGGCACATACCTCAGTCGCAGATTCGAACCTTCCTCAGTCGGGGCGGTGAGGGATGCAACCAATAGATGTGTTTCTCTCACATGGGTGTTTTATACGCTCCCCACCTACCTCTCTCCCGCCCACTCTCTCTAAAAAAAACCAATGGGAAAAAAATATCCTCTGGTGAGGAGTAACCAAAAATAAATTAAATAAATTAAATTTTAGAGAGAAAAAAACACTTCTCTTATAAGCATCCTTATAGCTAAATCTTCGCTCCTATGATAATGTCGTTAGTATAAATTCCTACTTGTGGAATTAAAGGAGCAAAGAGGTATAAACTTTCCACATCAGTTTTATTTTCAAATCAACTTTTTTTTTTTTTTTAATAATCCTCACCTGAGGATATTTTTTCATTGATTACTTTTAGAGAGAGTGGGAGAGAGAGGGAAAGACAGAAATATCCATGTGAGAGAAATCTATTGATTGGCTGCCTCCTGCAGGAGCCCTGACCAGGGCCCAGGCCGGGAAGGAGCCTGCAGCCGAACTACGTGCCCTTGACTGGAATCAAACCCGGGACCTTTCGGTCCGAAGGCCGATGCTCTGTCTACTGAGCCAAACTGGCTAGGGCTCAAATCAACTGAGGCCTCATTTCCAGAGTAAAATACATCCACTGTAAGTGGCTAACTTTGGTAGAAGCCTGGGCACCACCATCATTATCAAGACATGTAGAATGCTCCGACTCCTTCACGGCCTGTAGTTTTTTTGTTTGTTTTTTAAAAATATTTTATTGACTTTTTTACAGAGAAGAAGGGAGAGGAATAGAGAGTTAAAAAACATTGATGAGAAACACCCATCAGCTGCCTCCTGCACACCCCCACTGAGGATGTGCACAAAACCAAGGTACATGCCCTTGACTGGAATCGAACCTGGGACCCTTCAGTCCAACACTCTATCCACTGGGCCAAACCGGTTTCGGCAAGGCCTGTCGTTTTTAAGAACTCGATGGGGAGTGACAGTTGAGGGTGGTGTGTTCATGGACCCTGTTCTGGGCGTGTGGGGATGTCGGGGCCGGGAAGGAGGTGGTTGGTTCTGACTGCTGCCCTCGGCGGAGCTGATGGAGTCTGGCCGGGCAGCGGTCCTGTGTGTGCAGCGCCTTTGCGGGGCTGATGTTCTGGGGCCCAGGAGCAGGACGGGGGTGCCGGCGGGAGCAGCTTCGGCTCAGGCAGGGCACTTTGAGTCAGACTGACTGTCAGGGGCAGCTGCTCGTGTGGTGCTGGCTCCTCCTCCATGGTGAGCAGATGGCGGGTCTGAACGTCCTGCTGGGCCCTCGGCGCTCCAGTGACACGTACGGCACTAGCTGTCACTCTGCGTAGCACACTCTGGGCACCAGGCTCAGGACTTCCTCGGGTTATCGCCCCAGACCTCACAGGAACCCTCTGGAATCAGTGCCGGTCTTGTCCCCCTTCTACAGATGAGCCTGAGCGGCCGGCACCAGGCCGAGGAGCAGGCGGTGGGGCCCGTGTGTCTCCTCAGAGACCGAATGTGTCCTCACAGGCTCTTCCTGAGTCCTGAGCGGAGGCCCACTTCCTGGTGTGCGGCCTGTGGGTCACTTGGCCTCTCTGCCCCTTCCTCGTCTGGAACAGAAAGAGCGGGAGGTGGCTGCCTGGTCCCCAAACCCAGAGACAGGACCACGAGGAACCTTCCAGCAGGCCCGGGACCCTCCCCTCCCAGCTCCTGGCCAGGCACGAACAGTCCTTCCTGCCTGCCTTCTTGAAAGATGCACCTCAGTGAATTGTTCCCTAAAGATGTGTTACAGGCCGAAACGGGTTTGGCTCAGTGGATAGAGCGTTGGCCTGTGGGCCAAAAGGTCCCAGGTTCGATTCCGGTCACGGGCATGTACCTTGGTTGCGGGCACATCCCCAGTGGGGGGTGTGCAGGAGGCAGCTGATCGATGTTTCTCTTCCCATCAATGTTTCTAACTCTCTATCGCTCTCCCTTCCTCTCTGTAAAAAACCAATAATATATATATATATAAAGATGTGTTACAGACCAAAGAAATGCCGAGCACGCTTCCTAGAGAAAGGGAGGGGCCCCGTTTGTGAACACTAGTGGACTCTGGGAATCATTTCCAAATCAGAGTGAAGAAGCACGCAGAAGGCCTGTCTATATACAATATATCCTGCTTGGATCTTTTGCAGATATGGTTCTGCCCCCTTTCGTGGGCTTACAGGTGTTGGGGGTCCCTAGGCCATATCCAATGATCTGTAGTAGGGCCAGCAGTAACGACCCCCCACCTGCAAGGGCAGTGCATTATTCAGTTTTTATGACCTGACACGCCTTGCAAGACCAGTTTCCTCCTCAGATGGACCCAGCAGGTCCTGCCCGGCCTGGCCCCGGGTCTCGTGTGAGAACTGACCTGCCTCACCTGCTGCAGGCGCCCTCCTCTCGAGCAGCTCCTCGCAGTCTCCCCTCCAGAATTCTGTGCCTGCGGGTCAGCACCAGTGGCCCAGGTCCTAGCTCCACCCACTCCCAGAAGGCCCCTTCCTGGCTCCTCCCTCTTCCTTCCTGGGCCCCGTCAGCCGAAGGGCCAGCAGTTCAAGTGCGAGACCCACTCCCACCTTTCCAGCTGCTGGACATGAAGGCTCCTAACTGTGTGCACATGGAGCAGCAGCTGCACTTTTCAGCAGAGGAATGAAGGCTGAGCAGTTAGCAGTGTTTGCCAAAGTGTGGTGCGCGTACCCCCGGGGGTACGGGAAGAGTTTGGTGGGGGTACGCGTTGCACCGGAGTTTGGTGGGGATATGCACTGCGCCGTGCTTAGCTGCGCCTAATTCTACGTTCTCATGAGTACGAGGGGTACTCAGCGTTACAAAAATTATAGAAGGGGTACACGTATGTCAATAGTTTGGGAAACACTGAGCTAAGGGATTTGTTTGAAGCCGCATTGGGCTGAGAACCAGGCCGCTGGACCCTGGGTCCTGGGCTCTCCGAGTGGCCCTGGGCAGACCCTGCCCCTCAGGGGGAGGGTGGCAGTAGAACCTGCTTGGTTAGGAGAGGCATGGTAGCCTTGGCTAGTCTTGTTTTTATCATCTTCTTGGTCAGATCCCTTAGTCTGCCTTCCTCTCCTGAGCAGTCACCAGGTCCTGGGGATCCCAGTTTTGGTTCCTCCTATTCCCTGATTCCATCTCCTCCTCCCCACCCCCCCTGGGCTCCAGCACCAGCCCCGCTGGAGGAGCGTCCTGCTCTGGGAACCCTGCAGCCACCTTGGGCAGCAGCTTGGGAACCAAGCCCAGGGCCCAGCTCAGTTTGGGGCCAGAAGGGCTTGCCCAGGAGAGGGCCTGCTCCCCCGGGAGAAACAGAGCAGCAGATGGCTCAGGCAGCGGCCTCGGGAACCTGCAGCTCCAGAGGCAAAACAGACCTGACAGTCCCTGGTCCCGCTCGCCTCCGGCATCCTGACCCCGGGCAGCCGGCCCAGCTGTGCCGCTGCCCAGGGAAGGCAGCTTTGTGGACTGCAGGGCCTGAAGCCAGGCTGGGCTGTGGGTGGGATGACAGGAGTGGATCCAGCCCACACAGGGTGCTGCCCAGCCAGCTGGACACTTTCCGCCAGGCCAGGTGCTCCTGTGGGTCTGCCTTCCGGAGCTCGCCGTATGGCAGTGCTGATGTAATTAGGAGGCCTTTTTTGTTCGGAGGAATTAAGTCTTCATCTAGAACAGTGTTTCCCAAAGTGTGGTGCGCGTACCCCCGGGGGTACGGGAAGAGTTTGGTGGGAGTATGCACTGCACTGTGCTTAGCTGCGCCTAATTCTACGTTCTCATGAGCACGAGGGGTACTCAGCGTTACGAAAATTATAGAAGGGGTACACGTATGTCAAAAGTTTGGGAAACACTGAGCTAGAGAATGCTACTCCAAGGACATGGAGGGACAGTGGCAGCCCGTCACTCGTCTCCTCCAGGGAACTGGCTTTCCCTGTTGCATCACCGCCTCCCCACACACACACTCATGCTTGAGTGCAGAGCCTTGCAAAAGAGCCAGACCATCTTGTAGGTTTTGCAGTGGCCACTATGATCATTGTCTTCTGCAGGAGTTAAGACACTTTGTTAACTAAAAGTGACATTGAGCCCTATTCTCCTTCTCACTCACCACCGGGTGCGGAGGATTTTGCTGGGCTCTCTCCAGGCCGGCACCTCCTGACACAGGCCTGTGCCGTGCTGGAAGGGAGCATCCTTCCCTGGCGCCGGGCCTCTGGGGCCCTCTGAGCGGGAGACAGCACAGGGAGCACCGGAGGGGAGGGCTGGGGCTGGTATGTCCCCTGGGCCCAGCACACCAGCTGTTGGCGGTCTGGGAGAATAAGATCAAGCGCTAACAGTTCTTTCTAACCCCGCGCAGCCGGAGCCAGTTGCTCATCGGCGAGTGTTTCTGCTGCTACTTCCTCTGGGGGTCAGTGAGCCAGCTTCGGGCGGAGGTTGAGCAGGCAGAAAGGGCAGGGCAGCCAGATCCTTCCTCCAGGGCAGCTAGCTTTTGTGGGGAGGAGCCCTGGAGCAGAAGCAGGGTTTCAGCGGTGGGCAGGGCCCCTGCAGGGGCAGGGGAAGCGGCGGCTGACTCTGTGAGGTTGTGACCCTGGTCTCTGTTCCAGACAGGAATTCCAGCCCTGGACCGGAGTCAAGCCGTCACGATCCACGAAGGCGAAACCGACCAGGGTGATCACAACCCACAGCTCGGGATGGGCCGGCGGCCCTGGGGCCGGCTTCCAGGTCAGCCTGAGCCAGCGCTGCTGCCCTTCTCCCCCACCTACTCCCTCACCCCCCGATTAGGGACGCGGGGTCAGATGGCAGGGTGTAAACGGCACTATGGCTGGGGCAGCAGTGTCTGAGCACCCAGTGGTCTCTCAATAAACAAAGTGGTCTCTCTTTGCACTGGCCAGGAGGTGTCCCCAGTGCTGTTTCTCTGGTGAGCAGGTGTCTTTCCTTACCTTTGACCGCTCGGCAGTAGTGACAGGCATTCGTGGGGGAATGGAAGGGAGGTGGGGACTGTTCAGCTCCCGATTCCACCCAGAGGCTTCAGGGAGCCGAACGGACGGTCATATGACTCTCTGACCTGTGCAGGGACCCGCCCACTGGAGGTCCCCCGGGGACGCTTCCGGTGAGTAGCTCCAACTCGCAGATCATAAAGGGGGCTGCGCAGAGGGAACTTTTCTGGAGCTGGGGGAGGGAGGCCCACTGATCTGTGCCACCTCTCTCGTGTTTCAGGTCCCCGAGGTGAGGAAGACGTTCAGTCCTAACCCCTCAGCCATCTTCCAGACGCCAGCTCCCCGGATCCTCCACGTGTGACTCCCGCCGAGCAGGGTGCCAGCGGCTGGAGTCTGGGTGGGTCTGGGATGGCTCCTGCCTTCTCACCCTGGGGCGCAGCTGCCACCGGGCTGCAGGCCTGGCACGAGGGACATGGCACCTCAGCCATCCTCAGGAAGGGTGCGGAAGGCTCCAATCTTTTAATTGCCACCCTTATTTTTAAACCGGAAGAACGCGAGGATCAATTCTGTTGTGACTGAACTGGCCCAGGGGCGCTGCGGCATGTGGACAGCAGGTCCCGGAGCCAGTCATGCCTGCTGTGCTCCCGCTGCATGGTAACTCACACCTGCGGCGACCCAACGTAACGTTCTGGGATGTTCCTACAAATGTCCCACGTGACCCAACCACAAGAAACCTTAGTTATCACCTGCATGAGATTCAGAATTACCAGGAAGAAGTTGCCAAAAGAAACTATCAATCACAGGGTTTCAATTTTAAAGACTTAGTTTCTTTATGGCCAAGATTACCCTTATGTGGTTTTTTTTTTTTTTTTGATTGATTTCAGAGAGGAAGGGAGAGGGAAAGATAGAAACACTGATGATGAGAGAACATGATTGGCTGCCTCCTGCACGCCCCCTACTGAGGATGGAGCCCGCAACCCAGGCACGTGCCCCTGACAGAACTGAGTCTGGGACCCTTTAGTCCACAGGCCAACGCTCTAGCCATTGAGCCAAACCGGCTAGAGCGACTCTTATGTTTTTAACAAAGAATTTCTTGGGATGAGTGCTTGAAGTACTGAATGAACAAATGCCATTTACCTTGTGGAAGGTTGCTGAGCCCCACATTTTATACTACTTCCAGTTTCCCCCTTAACATATTGATAACCAGAAGGGAACTACCATCCACACAGGCTAAGAATTAAGAGCTTTCTTTTTCAATTTTTAAATTTGTTGGTTTTAGAGAAAGGGAGAAACATCGACTTGCTGTTCTACCCCTTTCGTGCGGTCACTGGCTGTTTCTTGTATGTGCCCTGACAAGGGATCGAGCCTACAACTTGGGCGTGTTGGGATGATGCTCGACCAAGCGAGCTACCCAGCCATGGTTGGGAGCTGTAAATTTTTTTTAACTTAATGTTATTTTTAAGATATATATTTGTATTGATTTCAGAGAGAGAAACATTAATGATGAGCATCACTGATCGATTGCCTCCTGCACGCCCCCTACTGGGAATGTAGCCCAAACCCTGGGCGTGTGCCCTGAGAGGGAAGTGAACTGTGACCTCCTCGTTCCTAGGTAGATGCTCAGTCACTGAGCCACACCGGAGGGAGTCTTTAGCTTTTTTCCCTTTTTTTTTTTTTTTAAGACTGCAGTATTAGCTTCATTCCCTGAAAGTCCTTAAAGTGTCATCCACACCCGCCTTTATTCTCAAGCCTGCCCTCTTCAGGGACAGGGAGCCTGCTGAGGCGGCAGCTCATTTTGTCTCTGGAAAACTCTTCCCTTTAAAATTCCGGCCCAGCGGCTGTGGAGAACAAGCCAGGCCCCCTCCGCACAGCAGCCCTTCCAAGCCCTGAAGGAGCTCATGTGCCGCCTTTGGGATTGGAGGCACAGCCCAGGTCAGTGTGGTAAGAGGCCAAGGATTCCCTTTGGATTTTTCTCTCCGGCAGCGGGGACCCTGGTCTGGAGCACTTAGTTAAGCCACAGGAGGTGACATTCGGGTCTCAGAAGCCCCTCCGTGTGGAGGTGGGGCTGTTTCAGCTCAGGCTGCAGAGGGAGTGACCCTCAGAGGTGCTGGCTCTGGTAGGACAGCCCTTCCCCTCATTCCAGCTCCCAGAATCACTTTAAAGGGAAAACCAATCTGCTGACACACAGAGTTCCATTATTTCATACTTCATTGATCTGCGCATTAGATGTTTCTAAAAGCAGAGACTGCCTGCTGGGCATCCGGTGGGAAGTGAACAGATTATTGAGACAGTTTCAGATTTTACTAAAACACAAAAATAAGGTATTCTAATTTTTTATTTCTTTAATTATAAATGAGCACCTTCTCCTAGTTTCCTTCATCCTCCTCTTGATGATAAGCACCTGAGTGTCTCCCGGCTGCAACTGACACCCCAAGGCTCACGGAGCCGAGAACCCTGCTTGGCTGCAGTCCACGCCGTGTCACGTCGGCCTCTCACAAACCCACCACCGGCGCCACAGTTAGCTCCCCCACGTGCCCCGCTCCCAGGAGCCTAGGGAACAGCTGTCTTTGAAGCCAGTCTTCGACTCTGATCTCGACTTCTCCATCCACCAGCTGGGAGCAGTCTAAGCTCCCGTTTCCTCATCTGCAAAGTGAGGTAAACCCCCGACCGGGCTAAGAGTCTGGGTTTATGTGCAGGGACTTAGGACAGGAAGCAGAGGGCAGCGTTGAAACGATTCTTTCCTACCCCAGCACCCGCCCCGTTTCTCAGGGAGCTGCTCCGCTCCACCTCCCTGAGGCCCACAGTCCCCCCCACTGAGACCTGCCCTTCCCTCCCGGAGCCTGCCTCGTGCTGGCACACGTGCACGTCCAAAGACCTTTTTGGAATGCTCTAGGACGGGCTTTCAAACACCCCAACCTGACAGCCTTCCTAACTAGACTTTATTAATTAGAAGGATATCTGGGTTCTGAAGGAACTTCCTCTCACTGGCTCTAGGTCTTACTCAGGCCTCACACTGTTACTGGAGTGGACTTAAGAAGCCACTGGGCCTGGCTGGTGTGGTTCAGTGGTTCAGTGTCTACCTATGAACCAGGTTAGGGTTCAATTCCCAGTCAGGGCACATGCCCAGGTTGCGGGCTCAATCCCCAGTAAGGGGCCTGCAAGAGGCAGGTGATCAATGATTCTCTCTCATCATTGATGTTTCCTCCCTTTCTGGGAAAAAAATACTTTTAAAAAAGTGGGGGGATAAGGAGAAGGGCAATTGAGACAACAGTCTCAACCATGCTGTCCCAAATCACACATGTAATATACACTGACAAAGAAAAATGCACTGGAATGTTAATGGTAGTTATCCTTAAGATGCAGATTTACGGGTAATTTTAAATTTTTTAATCATTTACTAAAGTTTCTATATAATAAGCACTTTTGTATTAATTCTGTAAAGAGAAAGGTTTTTAAAAATAAAGGACAGTTCAATCTGTGAGCTGACGTCAGCCAGAAGGAAGAGTTCAGTATTCCTGATTCCATAAGCAACGCCAGCCCTGCCGCCTGCACCTCTACCAGCAGGAGGCGGCCCAGGGGCCCGCGGAGGCAAGCCCCGTGGTCCTTTCAGCTGGTCACTCAGAGCAAGTCCCGCTCTGTGGCGCTTCAAACTCAGAACCTGCCTCAAATACGAATACTTACGGACCGGTAATAACGCCGGGACTGTAGGCCGAACTACGAACAGCAGCTGTGAGAAAGCCGTGGCCCTGCAGCCTGGCCGCCGTTCCTCCGTCCGCAGGAGGGAGCCTCGCAGCGCCCCTGCCCCCACCCTCCGGCCACTCGGCTCCCTGAAGGCCCACACTGGTGAGGACTCTCCCCAGAAAGCTCTGTACCTGCCGTCACAAAGCCGCCTCCCGGCCAAGGAGGGCTTCCCAGCCTTATCTCAGGAAGGGGGGGCAGAGTGGTCATTCTGAAACGTTCTGCATCTCTGTAGTTTTTAGCCATTATGCTAGCGGATGGCCATGCAGGACGGTCTCGGGAGTAACTTCTCCAACACCTCGGTACAGACAGTCCTCTCCTGCCAGCCACGCCCGCAGAGCTGCTCCCTTCCCACCGTGGCTGTGAGGAGGCTCCGAGCTCCGTCAGCAGCTTTCCTCTGCCTCAAGCTGTCGGAAATCAGTGTGTCCTGCGACAACATGGATCTTATAACATTTTTTCAGACACGTAGCTGTTATCCTTTACCTTGCACAGATAGCCTCATGTTCTTTTTTTGGGAAGAAGAGGGAGGATTTAACACAAATACCTGTATCTTTGACCTACCCTGGCTCTTTCTAACGTAATGTGAGAAGAACTCGACCACAGTGTGGTGATACAAATTCAGAAAACCCATCACAAATACTAAAAGATTTATTGTAGGTATTGTTACACAATTATATTACACATTATGATACAAATACAGACATATGGGGGCTGTTAAATCATTTGTTTCTGTTGTAAAAAGGTGATTTCTTTAGGCTTTCATCCCTGCAGTCGGCCTGTTCTCACTGGGATGAAACTCTGTCCTGTGGCTGTCAGTCCACTGCTGAGAGAGCCCAGCACTTGCCCACACCCGTCCGTGGGTGGCTAGCTGAGCCTTTACTGCCTATTTACCACCAAGCCAGGGCACCCTGGCCTTTCTGAACAGACGTCCTCCCGCGTGTGCGCTCCTCAGATGCTGAATAAAAGTGGGCAGATTTGTCACGGTGTCACCTCCCCACCTTCTTTTCCTGACGAACATCTGCAGGACTCAGGAAAACACGAATTATGCTGCCTAATAGGTTCCGCTGACCCTGACTCACAGGTTTCAAACTGTCTTTGGGCAGCTTCCTGGCTGGGGATAAACTCATTACTTCCAGACTGTTAGGAAGCCTGGGGCCTTTAATGGAACTGGACGTCTTCCAGGTACAGAGCTACCTTCCTCCTCGCTTCTCCCTCCCACCTGCTCATGGACCCGCTTTTCTCACTGCTGAGCAGGTAGCCCCGTCTTTCAGCAGCCATTTCTCCACCTTTAAGGCACTCACAAGGGTTTCTTTGAAACACCTTCCTTCTTGCAAAAAACTTGACTGAGAAGGGGTCATGGAATCCACCGACAGGACATGGTCCTGGCGGGGCTGTCGCAGGAGCTGCTCCTGCTGGCCGTTCAGCCCGGTGACCCGAGAACGATCGCACCAGCTCGCTGCCTGTGCGAGACTGCGGGAGCCGGCACTGGTGGCATTGTCTGTTGGAAACACTGAGAGCTCCTGGGTATAGTGGAACCCTCCCGGACCAATGCCGGAATGTATCTGCTCCTTGCCTGTGACCTGTCCTCCCTGCTCACTGAGGCTGGCGGTAGGTGGTGATGCTCCCGTGCTCCATCAAGTAACACTTGTGCTCAGGCTGCAACCTCCGGGCCTGTCTCCCGCACAGCATTGCCGCGTCCTGTGGCCGATGCACGTGGGCCGAGAGCCAATTCTCCACACCGTGGCCACCGCTGACTGTGAGCCTACTCCTCCAGGTGTTGCCAGGGTAACCGTTGGGCTGCTTATAACCCAGCCCACAGAATGGGTGAAATCTCTAGCCTGCCAGACTCATGTTCTCCTCCGGCAGGGAGAGTCAGGCCCAAAGTGCCCCCTTGCGGACAGCCCACGGGGAGAAGGACCTGATACACAGGCCTGGCCCAGCTCTGAACCCTCCAGTGAGCTTTACAGAGAGTGGACAGATGCAAGCTGACAGCTTCACCTCAGAACCAGGAAGCCTGTGTCCTAACGGGATCTGCCCTGGGACTGACACTCTGGTGCTGCGCTGAATTGGGTGGAGGGAACGGTGTGTTAACCATGACGTTCTGAGG